GTTACTTATTTCCTAAAGTATTTTCGTGCCAAATTTCGTGAAATTCTAACGAGTGGTTCTCGAGAAATAGGTGTATTTCCGAGAGTGCAAATTTTCATTCAATAGCAATTTTTTTACTTACTATGCATGCGCTGCATTTAACTGGGTTCTTTTGGTAACAAAGAAAAAGCTGAGAATTCCTGGGTTCTTTGCATCGTTACCTTTTCTCACATATCTTTGTGACAAAAGACTAAAGCCATCAATACATTGTGTTCAATTGTAGAGAAAATAGTACAGATACTGCAGGTGTTGAGTAAATAAAATGATCGCTCTATTGACTGCATGTTTGTTTTTTGCAATCCTTGTGTGCGCGCTGAATTGTATCAGCAAAAGTGTGCGCAAAAACTGTGTTCGGCCACCTTAACTGGTGCAGTGTCAAACTGCATATCCTGGCTTAAAATCATCTATGCTTTTCAGACTGCAATGAATTATCACAGACATTTAGGGGTACACGGGGGGTAGGAAAAAAAAATTCTGATGAAGAGGTACTTTTTATCAAATCTCACCAGCTGTCCCCCTCCCCACCCCATAAATAATGAACAGTCCCTAATAAGCGATGTTTCTTTCAAAATAACAAAAATAAATTTCAGTAACTGGAATAAATAAATAAATGAATACATGAATAAATAAATAAATAATGCAAATTGATAATAATATTGTGGAAGTAGAATATGGTTTGCTTCAACAATCACTAAGTTAAGGGCAACCAATGTAAATGGCAAAAAGTAACATTACAAATCCAAGATTAATGTGCTGCATGTATCTGTTTTGTAGACAAGTGTGATAAAGATGATTTTGGTCTTGCTCAACTTGCTTGAATGTGTTTAAAGTAAAAGGCCTACTAATGAGTTTGCCTCAGTCATTGTCAGTGACAATATCAATGTTAAAACTGATGAGAGTTAGAGATTTCTCTTCACTTAGTGTTTAGTTGTTGTATGTAACTTGTATTTGCTCGGTGTGTCCATTCCTGGGTTCTCAGTGCATGTGAGGGGCCCTCATGTGAGGCCATGTAAAGGGAAATTGGGCTCAATGGAAAGGCCTGGTTGAATTA